GATTCGGTCCGTGCTCGTGCGGAATCGTGCCCTGAATAATGCGAGAGAGCGACGGCGTGAACCTGCCCCGGCGTGCCCTAAACCTGGGGCCGAAGGAGCCGTAAGGCTGAGGGCAGGGCAGTGAAACTTGGTTTTTCCCTGCCTTTCCCCTGGAGCAGCGCTCAGCCGTGCGTGCTCTCCGCCAGACCGCTGAGCCCCGCACGTTTCCACACCGCACGCTACCGGTGTCCTTAGCAAAGAACTCTACAGAGGCATGATTTGGGTAGCCTACAGATCATTTAGGAGCTGCAGTTCCCTAAGTTAATCTTTCAATCCTGTGTGCGTGCATCTGTGGATGAGTGGCCTGGTTTTTGAGGTGCACCTGCAGCTCCCAGTGACTCCTGATAGCTCAGGGGGCACCTGGATGCTATGTGTGGCTTCAAAAGCCCAACTTTGGACTTGGAGTATGTGTTTCATGTACGCACCCTGTCAGAACTGTGTGGTTAGGCTCCTGTTCATTCATTCCTGAGACGTGCAGTATGCAAATGTAACTTATTGTCACTGTTTCTCCTCGAAATTCATTCAGAAACACCTATTGTATTTTTCTTTTTTTTTTTTTCTTCCCATCCTAGGTGGACTTTTCATGAGGAACACTGTTCAGGAGCACAGTGCATTTCGATTTGCTGTACAGTTATACAACACAAACCAAAATACCACAGAAAAGCCCTTCCATTTGAACTATCATGTAGATCACTTGGACTCTTCAAACAGTTTTTCAGTGACAAATGCTTGTAAGTAAATACACGCTTCTTAAAAAAATATTTATTTTCTGTCTGTCCTTACATTCAGTTTCTCTGTGGTAGCTCAGATGAGCTCTTGTTTATACGACATAATGTAACAAATGTGTGTATTGACATGAGAGTTAGTAGATTTGCAGCATTATACGGTTGAATAATACCTTAAGGAAAGTTCTCTCACCACTTATTTTCACCCCTTTAGTTTTGTTTTCCGCAAAAACAACCATGTTAGTTATATAGCAGTGCTGTGTAGCTGTGATCAGTGAATTGCTGCTGAAGTAACATCCCTTTTCTGATGAGGCTACAACCTTGCCGTGTGAAACAGCGTAATTTGCAAATAATTCCATGTAGGAATAAAACAGAAACAGCTGTTTACAAGTGACCTTGAGGGGACAAAGCTAGAGGGGCTTACTTCTCTGCCCTGAAATGCTGGGTTGTTTTCTTACAGTGAAAGTCCTGTTAAAAGCTGAGGAGACTGTAAACTGACAAATACCATTAGAGCTGAGGGGAGAGAAAATAGAATCAGAACGCCTAGCGTTATGAGAAATAGCTCTGCACCAGCAGTGCATGCGTACAATTTGAGCCTTTATTAACAGAAGAAAGCAAGATAGAACTTTGAGTAGTGTTAATGTGGTGTTAAAATGCGAAATCTCTTCCTGAAAGACTGGTGCGTGTTCTGCATTTAAAGAAGCATTCCTTTACCAGTAGTAGTTCCTGAATATTTGTTTTAAGAATGTGTCCAAATTCAGTTTTATACAGTTTTCGTTGTAAATCTTTGACAATGAATGGAGTCTTTTTATGAGGTAGTTGCATGCATTTTGCATTATACAGAAATATGTCTGTCCATGATCTAAAGGACCTCTGAATACAATATACTAACTTTGTGTTATGAACAGAATTCCTCTTTATATACCCACAGTACAAAATGTTCAAAGAGGAAGCATTATATATTAAAATAATGAAGTATTGGGGTACAGAAAACTAGTATATCTTGTTTTAAGACAATTTCATGTTTTGACTATCTTATTTCTTTAATTTTTGTTTGTTGGGGATAGGATAGTTCTTATAATCCTGTCCCATGCTGTATAACTGGAAGGCTGGACAAGTAGATATTTTAATCTTCTAGGATTTCAGGTATTTTCTGAGAAAGCTGATGCTTGAAAAATATACAATAGGAAATATCTGGACAAATTTTGGATTGATATTCTAATATATCCCCCATGTGACTGCTTCTTGCTAGTGCAGCATTACATGTTTTAAAGGGTTTTGAATTAGGACCTTTAAAACTTTTGCAGGGGGGTTAATTATACAATATCTAATTTTAAAAAATGGTAAAGTGGAAAAAAAAAAAGGTAAATAAAAGCATGTCTGTACTTTGCATTTTATTTTGCTAATCCTATCCAGCCTCAACAGCTCTTACAACAAATGTCAGACTATTAATCCTTAATCAGTGTAATCCCTTCAAGAGGCTGTATCTCAAACATAGTTTCCTAAATATCAATTATATGGATTTAAACTAAATACATTAAACTGCTTGGGTGATTAATTATTAATTGTTTCCTAAAGTTCTGCCAGCACTTCTGTACAGATCCCACCAAGACAAGTGAACCACACACTCATTCAGAGGCAGTCAATGTATTATTTAGTCAGTGTGCTTCTCATCTTCTGACATCTAACGATTTTTGCTTTTGCTTGGTGATGGCTGTGGTAATTTTAGTAGGATGAGATGGTTTTCTGTAGTATAGGGTTGCGTGTTCCAACACACATATTACCAGTGTAGTAAAACTGGGAAAACTTAAATCTCTGGAGAAACCATGGACCAGAGAATACCAACCTATGATAACCTATTTAAAAATAGAGGATGTGAAAAAAGAAACAGAAGAAAGAAAATGGAAAGGTGACCTTGTCCATAGCTATGTCAACCATCTGGTAATACTGTTGGTAGGAAAAGAAGACAGTGAGTCCAAGTCACCAGTCAGATGGGTCTCGGTATCTCAAAATAAATTAAAAAAAATATAGAACAACAGTTGCTCTTTTTGGATCTGGAAGCAATTATCTTTGAAAGTCAGAATGTTCATACATATCCATGCATTAGGATGAGCTAATAACTCCTCACACTACCTGGCTAACATGTAAAACATTCTGACCTAAGTACCCTTAATCACATCCTCACTTCCCAGTGGAGTGGCAGATAATTTCAGGATGCTGCCATATCCATGAAGGAATTCTTTCCACAACATTTTTACTTCTCTTGGAGATAAGCATAAATTGTCTTCAGTGCTGTCACACAACCTTTTGATCAATATTTGGAATTGGCAGGGACCCATAGGAGAGAAACCTGCAGTGACTCTGACTGCCTTCACTAGAGAGGGAGACTGTGACTGACTTTGTGGTGGGACAGGTGAAGGAACTGAACGGAAATTGGAGAAAGTAGCATGTGTAGCTTGATCCTAGCGCCTATACTAGTCAGTATCCATAAAATAATACTTTTCATTCTCCTTTGCTTTGATTTATATGATAGTGGCTGTACTAAGTGTTCATGTGTGCAGGGATTGAGGGGAGCTCTGCTCAGGAAAGACTTATGTTCTTAGTGTACAGCTGCATATCCCTCTTGGTGCATTCTGGTACATTCCAGAGGCAGGAGAAAAAAATCTCTTCTGAAGTATCCTCATGAGCCAGAGATAAAAAGCCCACCTCTGGTAGGGCTGATTTGGCAGTATCCCAACATAGGAACAAAGTTGTTTAGAAGCAAAAGAAAATTCCTGCCATAAGCCCCTCCCTCTCATTCCTTTTTCAGTTAAATGATGCATAGTCTGATTCATGTACATGTACTCTCTGCTTTATTGATCGCACTGAGCCCCTCTCTGTATATTGAATTTAAACACAGGCATACAGCATTCATCCACTCTGTATTTATCTGCCTACCTATTTATTTAGCTGTATGATGTCTTAACGGAGCAAATGCAAACACAGATGAAAATTCCAGTGTATTTAAAGGTGAATTGAAGTTTATCAGTTGGCTCTGGGGGGATTTATTACGTCTTCTAAAATATGCAGCTTTTTGCCGTCAGAAAAAAAAAAAAAAAACCAGAAGAGGAGGAAGATAACTTGATCTGTGAATTAATAAAATCAAGTAAAACATGGATGTTACATTTACTTCAGAAATGCTCATATAGGAAGTGAACTGGCTTTTTCAGAATAATATGAATATAACAACTCAAACATATAAATTCATCATTGAAGTGTCTTTAATGCTTTTCTTATAACCTCTGATAAAGGATGTTAGTATTAATGTTGAATTATGCATACAGTTCTGTAGATCATATTCCCTAGAAATAACCCACGTATGTCTTTCTGCTCTGCACTTGTAGTGCACTATACTAACACTGCTCTAGCCTCTGCAGTGTCAGCTCATTAGCACACAGATCTCATATTCCCTCTCTGCACTGTCATTGCAAAAAATTGCTGTTGTACACCTTTACAGCCAACAAACGTGCACTTGTGTTATGTACAGTTTTCAAGAAATATTTAGAAAAATAAACTCAACCTTATACATAGTCCCCATGGAATTTCTCAAAGCATTAGTTTTCATTAAAATCTGTTGATCATGAAATGATAGCGGTGGGATGTGTACGGGTGAAAAAGGGCTGTGATTGCAGAATCTAATTGATCTACAGGCAGATTCCCTCTCAGCTAAACCTAATCTATCAGCTGCAAATTCTTGTCCTGTTAATTTTTCTGAGTCATTTCTCATATATCTTCTGAACCCAGAAGGCTTTTTATATTTTACCAAATGTTGATGTGTAGTGATTTTTCCACAGGCACTTGTTCTTTAAGAGACCAAAAAAAAAAGAGGGAAGATATAATGACATGCTTACCATAAGTCGCTAAAATCCTGTGAGTGAGTGTATGGACACTTTCTTGAGGGGGTCTGATTTCAGAGTAACTTAGGAAATTTTTCTTTAGCATCCTTGCAGTCCTTGTGTTTAATCTTAAAAATTCAGCTTCAAAGATTTTAATGGAAAAAGTGACCATTTGTTTTTGTCAGAATGTCACAGAAAATGATACCACGGGGTTAGTAGCAGAGAATCTTTCCAGTTTAACTGTATTACTCCTTTTCCCAAAGCACAGGAGCCCATATATATATATATATATATATATATATGCTTACACACATACTCATTCACACATATGCACACACACACTTTTTCCTTAGGTGCTGCTCAGCATTTCTTTTTGCCAGTGGGCAGATAATTTGCTTCCCTTGCATCTGTGTACTCTTTGACCAGCTGGCAAAGGATGCTGATGCTGAAAGTGGTCAGCTCCCTTCTGCCAAAAGCATAAGCATGTCTCACTGAAAGTCTTGCCAAGTTTGAACCATGTACTGGAGGTTTTGCGTCAGTAGAGACCACAGGGTAGATGCCTCACTCTCCCAATAAGGAATGCACTATGGTTTCTCCGAGCATTCTGTGGTAAAACACCTGGAAATGTGCTTTCTACACAACTCTGTTCATTACAGATCCCTGAAAATGCCTTTTATGCTGCAGAAAGTACTCGAGTGTTGTATGTTACTGCTGAGTGACAAAGAAAATAGCTGGCTTTAGTTTAGGGGTCAAAGCTTTGCAATATTGGGGTAGGTCGAAAGGTGAAGGGTGTGTTCAAACCAAAGTTTGTTTCTACTTTGTGGCAGAGCAGATGATTTGTCATTAAGCTGAATGTGATCTCAGTGTTAGCAGAAGGAACTGTACTGGTTTCAAATATGTTTTATTATTTCTTAAATTAATTTTAAAATGAGCTGACTGTCCTTTCTCTCCTCCTCTGCTACATACATAGCATTTACATACTCTTTAATGTTAGGGTTCCTCACACTGTTTGGTTTAACTCACACTGTAGACGTCAAAAAAAATCTCATATGAATTGACGCTTTTTTGAGAAACTGAATTTACCAAATGAATAAGGAGTAAAATGCAATGAAGAGCACCATTTAATTGTTC